ATCAATAATTTATTTTGTTTTGTTCAGGCCAGGCTGGCTTGCTGGAAAAGCCAACTTTTTAGGGCGCGTCGGAAGGACCGGAGGTCGGGGATTATGCGAAGCTCCGGGGGCAGCTCATTCCAGAGGGAAGGGGCTCCCACAGAGAAGGCTCTCCCCCTGGGGGTCGCCAGCCGACACTGTCTGGCCGGCGGCACCCTGAGGAAACCAATTAGAGACCCAATTAAGGCTGAAGTGTGCGTTAGTGCAAGAATCGAGGGCCAGGAGGTGGCCTCCTGAAACAAAATAATGCAGGTCATGTTCTATTTTTAACCGTTCATCATGGCACTACAACTGATAGGCAGCTTACGAGGGACGACTGGCAGGCCTGCAGAGAGGGTAAAAAAGATGCTACTCTGGGTTTACTAGAGAAAACTACTCGGAGCACCAGCATATCTTTGAGATCAAGTTATCGAGGAGTTGCAGAATGTTTACTCCCCCTTTACACACTGCCTGCAAAATTGTCTCTCTTTGGACATCTAAAAATGCCGACAACTGTCCCAATTCTTACAAATATTCTTCAGAATTTAGGGAAGAAAGTAGGAGAATTTTCAGGGGCAAATTGCTCTTCCCCCAATTGCACAACATAGATACAAGTCCACATTAGATACAGATCGCAGGTTAATAACCCTGGGTCTAGATGCCAATTTAGAAAACAAAAGTAAATAATTTCTGGAAGAGTGAGAAGTAGTTGGAATCGACACAACTGAAAAGTTGCCAAGGTTGAGGGGGGAGGGCTGGGGGGAAAAAGTCAACCCACTGAATTGTTGTACTCCCATTTGAGAATTAAAAGCCTTAAAGTTAAAAGTATTTGAAGTATGCACAGCCTTTACTTATCTATTTTTAATAAGGCTGGTTGAAAGCCTAGTAAACGGACCTTGCCGGAGAGATAAGGAGGGTGAGAAAGATAGCAAGCCAAAGGAGCAAGGAAGAAAAGAGCTGGACGGGGTCTCTGCTCCTCTCAAAAAATGGCATTTTGCCCCCAGGAAATGAGGGTTATTGCTACCAAAGTCCATTGATTATTCAGCCTGAAGTTTGAAACCAGAGTTGGCAACTTTATTTTATGAGTGTGTGTGTTTATATATTTTATTTATACATTTTTCTTTAACATACATAAGCGCTGAGTAAACAGTGTACTATCTGGGTCAATTTGCTTAAACAATAATGTTTTCCAGTTTCTAATTTCTATTATCCAACCATTGATGGAACAAATCCCATGTTAAAAAATATTCCGTATCTTCTTTTATCTTTAATGTCAACCTATTCATTTCTGCACTATTATTTTATGTGTGTGTGTGTATGTAATGTATATATGTATGTAGGATGTATGTGTGTAGATAGATGAGATAGAAATATAGGAGAGATGATAGACAGACAGACAGACAGACAGACAGACAGACAGATGGTAGATCAATCACAGAAAGATAGATAGGAATAAAAGAAAGAAAGAAAGAAAGAAAGATCAGACAAACAGGATAGATAAGGATGATAGAAAGAGAGATGTAGATAGACAGACATGGTAGATAAGGATGAAAGAAAGAAAGAAAGAAAGAAAGAAAGAGAATAGATAGATCAGGCAGATAGGGTAGATAAAGATGATAGAAAGAGAGAGACGTAAATAGACAGACATGGTAGATAGGGATGAAAGAAAGAAAGAAAGAAAGAAAGAAAAGATAGATCAGACAGACAGGGTAGTTAAGGATGATAGAGAGATGTAGATAGACAGACATGATAGGGATGAAAGAAAGAAAGAAAGAAAGAAAGAAAGAAAGAAAGAAAGAAAGAAAGAAAGAAAGAAAAGATGGATCAGACAGACAGGGTAGTTAAGGATGATAGAGAGATGTAGATAGACAGACATGATAGGGATGAAAGAAAGAAAGAAAGAAAGAAAGAAAGAAAGAAAGAAAGCAAGAAAGAAAGAAAGAAAAGATAGATCAGACAGACAGGGTAGATAAGGATGATAGA